GGGTCTTGTATTTAGCTACCTGAATTTGAGAATGACCTAACCTGACCCAACCCAGAAAAAACTAGGTTGTGTTAGGTCATGGGTCAACCCGTTGACCCAATTGTTATGTCTAATTGGGATTATTTATGCATCATTAGAAGTTTCCACTCTCTAATTTTTACTATTTAGTCTCTACTCTTTGAATTGTTAAATGTTCAAGTTTTTTTATTTTATATTTGGAATTTTAAGTTAATTCCTTTAATTTTGGTATCTTTTATGTATTTTTAAATTTCAGTTATTTTTTGGGATGACCCCAATGGACCCATGAGTCAACCCTAACTTGAACATTTAGGGTTAGGGTCTAGCATTTGATAACCCAACCCAAAATCAAACTGAAGTGTCTTGACCCAATCCAATTGCCAGGTATACCTTAAATTGTTGTTAGATCAATGAGTTTGACAAATCAATGATATGTCTATCTTAGCTCTTTCCTTATCATGAAAAATCATTTGGACATATAAATAATTTATTTTTCTAATTCTTGAATAATTTCTAAAAAAAAATAAGAAAAAAGTATTTTTGACATAATAACTAATAATCGATGAATTTAATAAGGGCCCGTTTGGCACGTATTTTTTGGAAGATCTTCTAGTAGCTCTGACAATCAAAAGACACATTGAGCTTTTGCATGAAGATCTAAGCAGCCCAAAGCTAGTTTGGCAGTATCACATATTTCTATGTCTTTCCGTGCAAGAATAAAACTGAAAAAATGCGAAAATCTTCATTTGAAGCTTCCCGAAATCAACCCAAAATGGGCTTCTCGCGTCTTTTCAACGCTCCAGCTTTTGGCGGCTAGATCTTCTGCAAACCAAACTGGAATAGACCAAAAATCGATCTACCCGGCTTGTAAACAACCAAAAGATCATGCGGAAAGAGGTGCCAAACGGGCCCTAAATCATTGATAGTTCCGTCTTATAGCCTTTTCCTCCCAAGGTTCAAAGTATCATAAATGAAAGGTGTATGAAAAAGAAAATTTTAAGAGACATATTTAGATACATTTTGAATATGCATGTATACAAATAAAAAATCAAGATATGCTTAGATAGACTAGGAAACCCAAACAAATCTTAAAAAATATATTAACAATATATATGAGTTCTATATCATTATAAATAAGTTATTTAAACATATAACCATGCTTTAATAGCTTATATAAAGTGTGAGATATCGGAACAATTGGTAATCATTGAAAAATAATGGAAGAACTAAAATGTGTAAATATATGCCTTAATTTAAAAAAAATCAATATAATTTATGTTAATATTAATTAGTAATTTAGTATATTAATTTTAATGATCAATTTTAACATTTATCAACAAACGTCCAGTATGAATAGAAAGATTAATAATTAAGAATTAAAATAAATATTATAAGGAAAATAAATAGAATATGGTGTAGTGGTAGATCTATGTCAACTAATGACTAGGGTTCAAATCCTCTTACTTAAGGTTTTTAACAAGTTATTTTAATGATGTCAAATTCAAATTCAACAGCCAAATTCTCTATGTTATATCGGCTCTTACTGTAACAATATGTATTGGCCGATATATCCCGATTAGACCTGTTCATGGGTCGGGTGGCTCGACGGGCCGGCCCAACCCCCAGACGGGCTTGAACATGCTTATAGGCCCACGGGCTTAAATTCGGACCAAAAAGTCCGACCCACAATAAATTCAAGTCAGACTTGAGTTTTGTCAAAATAGCCCGGCCCGAGCCCGGCTCGGCCTAACCTAATATTAAACTTTAAAATTAATTATATGATTATGTCCATTTGAATAATTTTTTTGATTTAAGAATGTAAAATTGTATTTTAAAATATAAAAGAAAGGGAAAAATACCATCTTGTAGGCCCATTGTTTATTTAAATAGAAAAAAATACATTTTTAATTCTAATTTAAATAGGGAAAATTGTTTTTTTTTTTCAATTAGGTCGGGCTTCGGGCTTAGGCTCGAGTTTCGGGCTTTTTACCAAGGCCGGGCTCGGGCCCAAGTTATAGGTCCATTGGTCGGGCCAGGCTCGGGCTTGAACCTAGTATATTTTCATTAGTGACAAGTGAAAGCCCGGCCCGAGCCCGGTCCGGCCCATGAACAGGTCTTATCCCGATACATTGCAAAATTTCAAAACTTGTTTTTCTGCGGGGAATATCATTTGAAATATATAAAAATTATTGTTTACATGGATATAGAATTAGTAACGCGTTGACCTATACCAGCATAATTATCAGACACTTCTAGTTGCCATCCATTATGGTATGGTACGAGGATCATTGGTATTTGCCCATGCCATCTGTTCGGGCAATTCAGATATCCTGCCACGTCATGTACCCTTTGCCCCTTCCTTTCCAATTAGATACACCCTATAATCTATATTTTCATGCGAGTGTTGTAGGAAAAGAAAGGGTTTGGGGAAGGCGAGCCATATCGGTATATCCTCCCTATTTTAATAATAATTAATAAAATTTGAAGACGGTCCGCCCTTCCAGTAGAAGTAAAATTTGGAGTAAAAAAATGTGAAAGTACAGGATGTCTAAAAGCTACTTTAAACCTTTTTTTTTTATTCTGGATACTTTAAAACTTGGAATTAGCTTTTTTTTTTTTTGGTAAATACTAGGGTGTGGGAAAAGTTTTTTTCCCTTATCATCGTAAGGGGAAACCTAAAATAACAGTACTCAATTATTTTCTTATGCAAGTAGCAAATTTACCACAAACAGAATAGAAACAAACTACTTCTAAAAGGAAATCGCACAAAGAAAAGTTAATAATCTAATAATATAAGAGAAAAGATAAAAAAATGGAAACACGGGTTAAACAGAACAAGAGCAAGGTTAATCCTATGGTTTTCTTTCTTTTTTAGGATAGGCAAGTCTAATCCTATGTTTAGCCCGACTATACACATCAGCTGGAGGTTTGCAAATCTAACTGAACGGACAAGTAATTATATATTTATACTTATCTAAAAGACGGGATGGAGAGCCACGGTCAACAGTATGTATAACCTCTCCCAAATTCTCAGTTTTGATTAATGGTCAGTCAACGGGGTTTTTTTGATAGCTCTAGAGGTCTGAGACAAAGTGATCCCCCTGTCTCCCTTGCTCTTTATTTGTGTTATGAAAATTCTTACTCTGTTTTATAAAAAGGCCGATGATTCTGATGATTGGGAAGGTTTTGTAATCTTTCCTGAAGGGGAAAAGGTTACTATTCTCCAATTTGCAGATGATACTTTATACTTTGTGGATACTTCTCCTATCTAATTAGATCTTATTCTTAGGATTTTAACATGGTTTGAGGTGGTCTCTGGGCTTAAAGTCAATTTGAACAAAAGTCAAATCATTCAAGTGGGTCAAGTAACCAACATAGTTGATTGTGCGGAGGTGCTGGCTTGTTAGATTGAATTCCTCCCAAACAAAGTAGGTTAGATTGTGCGGAGGTGCTGGCAAAGTTGGTTAGCTTCCTCGGTTTGGGATCCAGTTATTAAAAGAATGGAAAGGAAATTAGCATCCTGAAAGGCATGATACCCCTCTTTTGGGGTAGGGTTACTCTAATAAAAAGTACCCTTTCCAATTTACCTACTTATTTCTTTTCTCTTTTCCCCATCCCAAACAAAGTAGCAAGAAGATTGGAGCAGCTTTAGAGAAGTTTTCTTTGGAGGGGTTGGGAAGAGGAAAACAAATTCACCTAGTCAATTGGGACCAAGTATGTCTTCCTAAGGCTGAAGATGGTTTAGGTATAAGAAAGTTGAAGAGCTTTAATTCTGCCCTTCTTAGTAAGTGGATTTGGAGGTTCTCGACTGAAAGGAATGCTGGGTGGAGATTGCTCATAGTGGTAAATATGGGGTGGAGTGGGGCAACTGGAGATCTAGGGATCCTCCTCCAAATTGGGGCAACTGGAAAGGTATCATGAAGAATTTCTCTGTTTCCTTGGAAGGGATTTCAGTTAAGATTGGTAAAGGGGAGAGAACTAGGTTTTGGAAGGACTCGTGGTGCTTGAATGGTCCTAGATGAGTTTTTTCCTCTCCTTTTTCAGTGTGCTTCTAACCAAGATGCTTCTGTGGCTGAGAGCTTTTATTTGTCTGGAGATTCTGTTACTTGGACCCCCATCTTTAGGAGGAATCTTTTTTAGTGAGAGTTAGAAGAGATTATGGAGCTGATAGCTCTTCTTCAGAAGCAGAAGATAGACCTGTTATTGGAAGACAAATGGTGCTGGAAATGGAATCCAGATGGTATTTTTCTGTCAAATCCCTTGCCTCCAAGTTATGCAGTTTGGGCCTCACTGATTTCCCAGCTACACAGATCTGGAATCCTACAAGTCCATCAAAGTCCAACTTTCTGACATGGACGATGGCCCTTGACAAATGCCTTTCTAGATCTAATCTTGTGAGACAGGGCATTCAAATTTTGGATTTATCTTGTGGTCTTTGTGGGTTCCTTACTGAATCTACAGATCATTTGTGTCTTCACGGTTCATTCTCCTCTCAAGTTTGGGCGCACTTTCTCAAATCCATGGATATCAGTTGGGTTATGCCTAGGTCGGTTAAGGAGCTTCTCTGCAGATGGAAAGTTAAAGGCCTAAGTAAGGAAGGGAAATTGGTGTGGAGGACCATTCCTGCTGCTGTCTTGTGGTCCATTTGGGCTGAAAGGAACAGTAGGATTTTCTGTAATAGAGCTAAGAGCCCTGAAAATATAATACAGAGAGCAGTGGGCAAGCTGATTTCTTGGGTCTCTATTACTAAGGAGTTCAGAAGTCTGAATTTGTCTTTTTTATTTAGTCTTGCTCCTGGTGGAGCTTGTAATTTTTGCTGTTCTCAGACTGCCGTTCTGGGTCTGAATTCAGCCTGTATCTGCTTTTGGTTTGAATAAAATTACCTTACCTTTTTCCAAAAAAAAAAAGAAAAAAAACAGTAAGTGATGGGCACCAAATTATACAAACTCATCTTGCAAAAATAAATTTTCCAGACCAAAACATGGAAAAACATTGCAAACAACCTTCATAGAATACATCAATATCCCACCATTGGTTGATTCTGCATCTATGATATTTCCTTTTTACATTGTCATGCCGTAAAAAAAATCAGTAGCTAAATTGAACTTACAGCTAACTTCACAACGACATGATCTTCTTCCGTCCTAGGTCATCTACTCTGCCATAGAAGGTTCTTTAGCTGGTTCCATCACCACTGGTTCCAATGTCTCAGTCTTGCCATCTCCTTTAGGAATTATCAAGCCATATCCTCCAGCTTTTCTTTTGTATAGAATATTAATCTCACCTAGAGCCAGGGCAAATTGTCCCTTAACAATTAGCTGGAGAAGGCAATAAAGTATAGGAGCCAAATAAATGGACAAAAAAAACAAGTTATTGTTACCAGTTTCTTCATTTCGAAAGCCGTAGAAATCATGATCAATATTTTCCAACTGCTCCAAGGCTTCATTGACAGTCAGTGGTGGCATATTGAAGTATTTAGTACGGACAATCTGGAGAAACAGCGACAAAATGAGGATACAGAAACCCCAAGAAGGAAAACATTCCATTGGGAAAATTTATGCATGTAAAAATAGAGATGCTATGCAGTCTGTTATGCAAGAGTAGTTATATGGATGGTTGCTGAGATACATTCTTTATACCACATTCTTGTTAGAAGGTAAGAAGAGTATAAAATGCTAAAAAGAAATAAATACATAAAGAAAAGTGCAGTAAGATGATAGTGCAATAAAAGTGGCCAAAAAAATGTTTAGGTGTCGTGGGCTTAGGTCCATCATTCTTGAACAAACCCAAGTGTCATATTATGCAGCATGTGTTGGAACAAAAAATCACTGGGAACCAATCTGGAACCTAGTCATAATCCGAGAATCACCACTGCGAAATTTAGTCTAATTCCACCAAACAGAAATAGATACTCTTGTAACCAGTGTTGCTGGATTTGCGATCTCCACTAGAGAACCACAAATCAGTTCATATGAATTGATTCTTGATTCATGGCATGCAAAATGCAAAGTCATAGTGAGGCACTTCAATGAATTCACATATAAGTTGTTGTACATGCTTCTAATATGAATGTGTGTGTGTGTGTGTGTTAGTAAATGGCAAAGTTTTATTGAAGTAAAGAAAACAAACAGTTGAGCACCGCACAGCTAATGAGCCAGGACCTTGCTTTAAAAAGTACATCCTCCCAGTGATCTCCAAAATAATAATAGATACAGCCATTTAATACCTTCAAAATTAGACACCATCAAACCACTGTACTCGATTTTCCAAATTAAAACCTCCCAGGGTGCATTTTCAACTCAAAGATCCTTCTATTTCTTTAACTCCATACATCCCAACACAAAGCAAAGAGCAGAAGATTCTCTCTAATCCACCAACTTAACAAATTGGGCTAATCAAACTTAACAAATCCAACATGACAGCCAACCTATAAATTGTTTACTCTGAATCAAGCCCAAATCAAGTCATACCATGTGCTTGCAACCCAAAGGAACAAACACCTACCAATTGGATGTGAACATCACTAATCATGTAAGTGAAGCATAAAAACTAAATACATCCTAAATGTTCCCTGTGTTGTGAAAAGTGAAATAGTGAACATAAAGGCATAGAAGAAATGTTTGGTTTTCAAAGATGCCTCAAGCATGTTTTGTTAGAGAAAACAAACTCCACCTCAAGATACCCAAGGTCCCAAATAGGCATAAGATATCTCCAATATAAATTGAAAAGAGTTAGAGATAATATTTTTACAGATTTTATAAATAAAAGTAAAAGATGAGTTGGAAGATGGGAGTATAGCTTTTGACATTGTTACGTTGACCTTTTTAATTCAAGACAAATAAATTTTTATTTACTAGGAAAACATAACAAAAGACATATAAAGGATTGTAAAGTTATTCCATGAGAAAAATCACACAAAATGAGTTAATGGTTTTAAATTTTTGCATTAAAAGATGGAAGAAAATAGAAGGCCAAGAATTATGTGAGGAAATAAAGAGAGAAAAAAGTATCACGATTTAAAGACAATCTAATAATAGCAGAAAAAATGAGTTCATATGAAGAGACCAACAACAATTGTATAAAAGAAACAAAAGAGGCTTAGGAGAATCTAAAGAGAAATGACAAGCTGCTAAAAAAATACTTAATTGTGGAATGAAAATGTTTAAAATGTAATGAAAGCAAAGGAAGCAAGTTATAAAGATTGACAACGACAAAAGACCCAAAAAAGCAGTAAACTTGAAAATTGGTCTTGGCATAAGTTAGGCATTAAAGTTGAGAGCAAATGAAATTTATGATGGTAGAGTGGCCATAGGCCCTCGTTTCATCCTCAACATGTTGGAATATCCAATGACCATGTGACAAGCCACATGTTGATGGAAGATGATTATTTTATGGTTATCTCTATGCAACACTTTTCACACACAATCATTCATTTTTTTTTAAATTATTACCTATTTATTTATTTTCTATAAAAAGAAATTTATTTGATTGTTTATTTGAAAATGTTTTTATGCATGGAGATACCAATATTGTTGGATTATTCTGGATCCTAGTTCCAACTCTTATTGGGTCAATGGATATCCATTTGACCCAGTCTAGACTGGATGACCAAGTGGTTAGATCATTGGTCAATATGAGACACTTGTCTCAATCTGGAGAGGCCTTGACTTGGTCTTCCCCCCAAACATTCAAGTTGGTTAAGTTCCCTCCTCAAAACAAGGAAGGGAACGTTGGGAAGATAATAGGTCCCTCCTCAAAAACAGGAAGGGAACGTTGGGCAGAGACCTATATATATATATATATGCTATCATAATGATAGAAGATGTGAAAAATAAGATATCTTGGAAGGTCAAGTAACCTCCAATTTTTGGCCCCATCCACATTAAGTAGTTCTCTCTTGCATTTTGTTTGAGGGATAGGTGTCTTGGATCCCATCTTGTGTGGCAACTGCTCTTTTCTCTTTATGTGTAGGTTTGGAGCACCCAAGTATCAGCCGCCCATCTCTGCATCTTCACATTCTTCAATTTAGAAACTTCCAAAAATGAGAGAGAAAATTAGGGAATTAGATCACATTAGATGCATCAAGGATTCATCTTTGTTGACTGTTGTTTAGGTAACCCAGGTCCATTTAGATATGGAGGAGCAATCAGAAATCATGGAGTCCTCCTTAGTTAATGCAGACCAGCTGGGGAGGGAAACTCTTTGAGAGCTGAAACATTAGCACTTCTTCTTGGCCTCAGATCGTGCAAAGAAAAGGGATGGACTGACTTGTCAATTGAATGTGACTGCTGAGTAGTGATTGGATGGCTTGCATTAGAAGATCAATAACCCTGGAAGGCTGGAACCTAAAGCATCTGATTAGATCAAGCTGCTGGTATCCACAATGAACCACCAGTTCAAATGGATTCCCAGGTCTGCTGTCTGCAATAAACCTAGCGGATATGCTAGTCAGGGAGGGACTTGTACCAAAACCATATGTAATGACTTACAAGACACTTGTCAGCATTGAGCTGTGTTGAAGATTAATCAGTTTTAAGATGTTTTCTGAGTAGATGTTTTATGTTAGTTGTTAGATAGGAGGTGGGATCACAGTAGTTATGTGAGTCCAAATTTTATTATGTTTTTGAGTGTTATATATGCTGTTTTATGTTTTGCCGCCCTATAAGGACATAGTTGTCTTTGTACTGTTCTA